AACTAGCTAACCTCCTGCTCCTGGAGAACTCAAACTAGCTAACCTCCTGCTCCTGGAGAACTCCTGGGGTGGGGTGGCATGGGGACACAGGCACCGAGCACTGGCACAACTCCGGAGTAGGTACACCACAGGCACTGAGCGCTGGCTGAATGCGTCACTGGAGTTCCTGACTCGGAGCTGGAGTGAGGAGAGTGGAGATGCTCAGAACTCGTGCCTGAGGGTTGGAAGCCCCTGAGCAGCAGCGCCCTGGGCTGGAAATCTAGTCTCCGGGCTGGGGAAGAGCCACTCAGAAGCCTTGGGCGAGAGCCTGGCTCTGAATCTCCCTGCCAAGTGCCCTCTTCCTGGCAACAGTTATCCTCTGGGTCTAGAAACTGCAGCTTCCCAAATTCCAGAAAAATCTCCATTTCATTTCAATAAGGACAAAAGAGACAGTATGTAGCAAAATGAACTTAAACCACTTCCCCTGTGGTAGGCTTTTCATGTAAGGATGTCCACAACCCCCCAGCCCCTCGCCAAACACGGTTCTCTCTTTATTACCTCTGTCACAAGCCTGTTCAGGGAAAGGCACATCTGACCAGTGACATTGCCCCAAAATGTTGATGGGTGCCCATCCCATCAAGCCCCTGTCACATAATGAGGCCCCATCCAGAAAGGGCATGGGGCCTGAGAACAGTGCTGCAGAAGCCCTCGAGGAGCAAGGGCTGGAGGTCTGCACCTTCCTATCAGGCGGGGTGAGCCATCAGCCTTTGTCCACGCTGCACAGTGTAAGGGCTACCCAGAGCAAGATGCACACCTTACCTTCTCATAGGGACAGTACTTGAACATCTTGATGGGGCTTGTGCAGATGAACACGTCAGTGCTGCCAGGAAGAAAAAGGACAGTGAGCCTGCAGTCCTGCGCCGCCACCATGTTATCTTCCCAACACCTCTGCACCCTCTTTGACTGAGCCCTGTCAGGGTCTGAGCATCACATCTGTTATGGGAAACCGACTTCTCTGTGTCTCCGCACTACAGCTGTGTTTCTGCCCTAACCAATGACCATGGGAAGCACAGGCAACTCGTGGTAATTTTTGCAGGCCCAGACCCAAAAGGTGAGCAGTGCCCAGACACTCTCTCTAAAATTGGAACAGGAAAATACAAAGAGAAAGGGGCTGGGGATTTAGCTCAGCGGCAAAAGCGCCTGCCTGGCAAG